TGTCCAAAAGTGGTTACTTTTAGGGCCTGGGAGGAAGACACTGGGGAGGGGTTATGGGAGGATTTCTTTTTTTTTTTCTTCCTCTCTTTTTTTTTTTTTTTTTTTTTTGAGACAGAGATCCACTCTGCCGCCAGGCTGGAGTGCAGTGGCAATTCTTGGCTCACTGCAATCTCCAATCTCCATCTCCCGCGTCAAGCAATTCTCCTGCCTCAGGCCTCCCGAGTAGCGGGGATTACGAGGAACAAGCAACACCAAGCCCGGCCAAATTTTTGTATTTCTTAGTAGAGATGGGGTTTCAACATGTTGGCCAGCCAGTCTCAAAACTCCTGGTTTCAAGTGACCCACCAGTCTCGGCCTCCCAAAGAGCTGGGATTGCAGGAGTGAGGCACCACGCCCAGTCCAAGAGGGATTTATTTATTTATTTATTTATTTTGAGACAGAGTCTCGCTCTTTGTCCCAGGCTGATGTGCAGTGGCACAATCTCAGCTCACTGGAACAGCTGCCTAGCCCTTGGGGAGGCCCCGGTCAGCCGTGAGCCTGAGGCCTGGAATGCAGCCCGCCCAGGCCGCACCCTGCCCAAACCAGTTTGAACCAGCTGCAGGGATGGAGCCGTGGCGCGTCCCCACGAGCTCCCTCTGGTGCCCAAGCCAGGCTCAGAGTGCTGCTCCCGCCTCCTGCTCGGGAGGCCTCCTCGGGTGCAGACAGTGGCTCCAACCCAGCCTAAGGGGGTGGGGGTGCCAGTGGTTGCCAGGCCCGAAGGCCCCTGGGAGCTGTAGTCCCCCGCTGGGTCCCACGTCTCACACCCTTCTGCCCCAACCCCATTTGCTTCACCTCTAGCTGCAAAATGACTGGCTGTCTGTGTCTTTTCAAAGTCAGTTCTCCCAGCACAGGCCTCAGGCACACAAAGTTCCAGACCAGACAGTTCCCAAAAATGGCTTCACATTGAAAACTCCTGGGAAACGTCCAGAAAATACTGATGCCCAGACCCCACCCCCAGAGGCTGTGACTTTATTGGTCTGGGATGTAGCCTCGGCTTTGACAGTTTTAAAAGATGCCCCTAGGTGATTCCGATCTACACTGTTTCAGCGCTGGCATAGCTTTGTCTGGGACCCTGATCTCTAAAACCATATTCGTTGCTAATGTGTCCTGAGCCCTTACTATGTGCCTGGCACTGTTCTAAGCTCTTTACATAGATGCACTCACTGGATCCTCACCACACCATGTGAGGCCAGTAGGTCCTGCCACGATCCCCTCAGTCAAAAGAACACATGACAGGCGGTGGCTCACGCCTGTAATCCCAACACTGTGGGAGGCTGAGGTGGGGAGAATTGCTTGGGACCAGGTTTCGAGACCAGCCTGGGCACCTCTCTCTGGAAAAAATAAATAAAATGTGAAGTCGCTCTCCCGCTTAGTGTGTTTCCCCACTAGTGAAATAATTTCAAGCACAACCCATCTTCATAAAAGCATAGTGAAAAACCAGGTATTGGCTGGGCATGGTGGCTCACGCCTGTAATCCCAGCACTTTGGGAGGCTGAGGTGGGTGGATTGCTTGAGGTCAAGAATTCGAGACCAGCCTGGCCAACATGGTGAAACCCCATCTCCAGTGAAAATACAAAAATTAGCTGGGCTTGGTGGTACTTGCTCCTGTAATCCCAGCTACTCGGGAGGCTG